CCGGAGCCTTTTCTTCTCCAGGCTGAACAGCTGCAGCCTTTCCTCATAGGAGAGATGCGCCAGCCCCTTACTCATCTTCAGTGGCTCTTTGTTGGCCTCTCCGGGCTTGTCCGTGTCCCTCTTGTACTGGGATGCTCAGTACTGGGCACAGCGCCGCAGGGACAGCCTCACCAGCACTGAGCAGCGCCGCTCTTTACCCAGACCCGCTTCTCCGGCTCTGAGCTGGGCACAGACGGACGCTCCCTGTTACCCTCGCAGCCTGGTCTGTCCGTGCTCTCCGGAGGAAAGGCCGCAGCACCTTCTCCCCTTGCCCGGGCCTCTGCCGGTGCGACTGCCCAGCCCAGAGAACGACAGGGGCACGAGGAGCACTGCTTGGCTACAGCGGGCTGCAGCCCCACAAAAGGGGTCACGAGCTTGCTCTCCTGGGAGGCAATGTTCCTCCTTTAGTCTCACGTGGACACACGACGGTACCGGACCTGCTAAGGCATCGTGAGGAGCGTCTGGTGGGAGCGTGCTGAGCTGCCGCATCACCTCCAAGTCAAACGAGGAGGCAGGGCATCTTTCAGCAGATCTCCCTGCCTGTGGAAGCCCATCACACGCTCCCTGCTTGGCCCATCCGTGCCTTGGGAAGGCACAGTGAGCTTCCCGCTACTGAAAAAAAGCTACAGAGCGGGAGCAATTCAAGAAGGAGGAGAGCGTCAGTGGAAAATGAACCATTCTGTCATTTCTTTGAGACTAGCTGTGGCGTGGCCCATTTCCGTTTTATTAACTGAAATAAAAGTATAAACTCAGCCTTTTTATTGGTACTATTTATTGTGAATGTTGAAATGTCATGTAGTTTCAAAGTAAGAGATGAACTGATTAGACAGGTAAGTCATATAATTAATTGGAAGACCCTTCCGTGACAATTATATATATCAAAGCCATTTAAGTGAGGAAATGCAACCTTGAAAATGAAGTAGAGAGTTTAGTCATTGCTGAAACATAGAAGAATATGTGTATTTAGATATTTTACACAAAGGAAATCTTGTTTACAGAAAAGAGACCGTGTTGATTATCTGACACAATCAAGTGCTTGTGAAATATAGTCTCTTACAGAAAGTATTCCATTTCTTCGTGATTTAGAGACCTTTCAGCTTGGAGTGCTCTCTTTCCTATTCACAACTTGAAGCAGATAGTCCATCATCTAATAAAAAGAGAAAAATATTATTTATAGGCCAGTCCTGAAAAAAGTAATTCACTAAGTTAATAAGCCTAATTTATATGTGCCCTGTGTATTCACATAACAAACACATTCCTAATAACCTTTCCAAAACAGACCTCATTTGTCTTCGTTAGTGTAATAACCGACCGCCAAAGTATGAGGAAAGACATTCTTCCAAGAAATTCTGTCTGCCACCTCATTTATACAGTGTCTCATTAGTGCTACAAAGCCAAGCCACAGAAACAATTTGAAGCTTATTTTCCAACTTACTTTTACCTTTAGGCCAACTTGCAGGAGAGATTTTCCTTCTGATCTTTAACTACTTTAACTGTAATTTATTCACAGAATAAAGAGCAGGCAAGATCTTCATTTGCCTGGTATTAACTGAAAACAGAAACAACTTGGGTGCACCAACCTAAGCCTGATTCCCAGAACTATTAGGCTCATCTCTTTGGCTTTTTTGACTAGTTGTGTGTTACAGCACTTTCTCTACTCTGGGTGAGTCTTTTAGAAAGAATTTTTTTATTCTTGAGAAATGTACAGCACAGTGTGAGCACTCGCGGTGAATAATGCACCCAATGACTTTCAGCTAGTAAGCCAGACCCTGAACTGAGTTACCTGACGTACATATCCGCATTTGCTTCTGCAGCCTTTAGCTTTGGGGACTTTGGATCTTAAATTTAAAATTCAAATTTTAAATTAAATCAGCTAAATTTGAAAGAGTCCGTGAAACAAAGTCCTCATAGCACATTTCTTCCCAACACAGCCTGTCTTCGCTTACGTTCAGCAGATGGGAACATCGGGTGGCACACACACAGAGCCAGACTCCTCCTGCTCGGTGTCTCTGCAAGCGCACACTCGGTCTATCAGAATTACAGCCGATATCGACGGCGATACGGACTTGGGACAGCTATTGCATCAGCTGACAGCAGGGTTCACGATTTACCTTCCTTTTGGTCGCATTTCAGTACCCCAATCCAACAGGCCATTTCACAGTGAACAGTAACCTGCTGTAAATCTGGTGCCTTGGTTCCCCCTAGAATCAGTTCCTATTTCAAACTCAAAGACGATATGGCTGGAAAAGTCCTTAATGCCACATACAAACTTCTCCTATGGGCTGCACCACCAGCACCAGTTCAGTGGACCCGACCCTCTGCCACCGAGGCAGGGAGCGACATTCATCCCTCCTGTGCGTGGGCACCTTCGTCAGCTGCGGTCCAGCAGCACCTTACACAAAGGTGTTGTCTAACCAAAGTCTGGGCAACGTAGAACCCCCCACATCCAGAAAAAATGTACAGAACCAAAACCCACAGGCCATTTATGCTCTTGTACCACTCTGTACACGTATGACTGAATCTCGTATGTCTACCAGGATTCCACCCTCATAAACAGAAAAGGCCTCCTTTACCAAAAATAACAATCATCATTATTTAAATGTTTAGGAAACTACCACAACCCTCAAAAAAGTAAAGTACGTTCCTGTCGATCTTCAGGTCTTCCTCACCTGGAAGGCAGATCTCAAAAAGATACCTAGCTTAACTCTCAGGTGCTGGGTTTTTACTTTCTGAAGCCAAAAGAAAAGACAATACATCATAGCTTCTCTAGGCTGCACGTGATCAGGCATTTGTGTCCAACAGCAGGAAAGCACAGCTCATGTACTGCTTTCACGGTTATGTTTTACTTCAAAACGCAGACAAAGTAACAGCTGAGTGCTGGAAATCAAAGGTTCTACGGCAAAAGGAGGTTCTGCAAGTTGTCCTCTATCTCAGTCACACGAAAGATACGATTTTTTTTACTAATCATTGGAGAAATCCGGATATTTAAGGCAATAATCTCATTACTCCACGTATATGTTCAATGACTGACCACAAAATTGCGGCTATTAATTTAGGGTAAAAATACACACGTATGGATACGATTTGACTTACCAGAGGCAACTTTCAGCCTTCCCGAGTATGATTTATTACCAGACACTTTCAGAATGCAAAATATTTCCCTCTTTACATAGCATAATGGCATTTGTTCAACTAATTTGATTACAGAGCTGCACGCTGCAGAGCTGAAGAGGAGATAAATAGTTTCCTTTTTAGACAGTGTTAATCACAGTTACTATAAGCATCGCCGTCCTAAAGCCACAGCCAGAAAGAAACCTATGGACAGCATTTGTATCAGTGGTGTAAGAGACTTAAACCGTGGCTTCATTTAATGGGTAATTTTTTACCCGTATTCAAGTCAAAACCAAAGTATTCACCGACTTCACCGTCAACGAGGAAGACCAGGCTGAAGGTAGCCCAGGAATAACAATTACACCATATTACAGTAGGATATGGGAAGGAAAAAAAAATATCTTCCCATGAATGTCTTTAAGGGGGTGTATCAATCTTTTTATTCTACTCCAATGTCACCCAAAAGAATTCCACAGCCAGGTCACCATTACTGTACCAGATGCATTATAAAGGAAGGAGCTTTCTAGTAAAGGCTGCAATTTACAGTATGTCACTTAGACCCTGATTACTTTCTGTAAAACCTCACTGATATCCTTCCAGGTCTATTTCACAGGATTTTCCAAAAGAATAGGGGTGAATCTGTTCCAAAGTCACGTTATCTTGTGAAACAGCGCTGGTGAGTACATTCACTTGAAGGACGGAGCGGTGGGTCCCAGGCACACACCACGGCTTACACTGGTGCCACAGACTCATTTTGCAAGACCACAAACGACCGCAGTGGTGGCCAGCACCATCACCTGGGGGAAAGCCTTGCACGAGAGCAAGACAAAGCTGGGAGCAGAGGAAACTCCCCAGCCCCGCTGCTCTGTCCACGGACGGGCAGAACCTCACAAGCCCGACGAGACGGCGACAGCCAGAAGGGCAGCCGAGGGAGAGAGCCGACACGCTGTGGCTTTACACACAACACGCTTTGCCTTCCTCCTGCCCTCCGTATTCACACCCGTTTCCCACACCAGCTTGTTTTGGCTGGGTTAATACAGAACTTGGTGCTGAGGTGAAGTGCTTCATCTGAGCGTGAAGTGCTAGAAAAGAAAAGAATGGAACGACCAAGCAACTTGAAGGGAATTCGGACACTAAAATCTCCTTAATGCTTGCTGAGTTTACGCCCAGTAGCAAATTAATCCATAAAAACCACAATCTGGGAGTGACAATCTGTAATCAAGAGCAGAGTCTCACTTCACCGAACGACCAGTGCAGGAGACGCATTTCTGCTACTTGTGTGGACAATGCACAAGCTAGAGGAAGCCGGTATGTCACTGTAAAATGAAATGTGAATATATGTTTCCACAGGTCTTATCTTACTTACATCTTTCCAACTGCTATTGTCATCTGTCTCCCAGGTGTTCCTGCTATACCAGGGAAGCCCTCCTTTTAAAAAGTGAGCGCTTTTATTTTCATTCCCTTCCAGCAGCCGTAGCAAGTATTTTGAGATTTCTTCCCACTGCAGATAGCCTTCCAGCTGCTTGATATTTTCAGGTAATGCTGAAAACGGTGTCTTGTTTTCTTCTTCATAAACATAAGGAAAATCTCCAGTGCTCTTTTTCCCCATTAAATGTCCTGTAACAGCAATGACAGTAGCACGAAGTTAACCAAAACAGGTCTAGATCTGATTGTTCAAACATCAGCTGGAAGTTGTTACTGACGGAGAGCAGGGAGGGAAGGGTTTGGATGATGTCAAATTTAAAGCACAACAGAGAATGGAGATTTCGTCACGGCGTAACATACAATTAATTTCCTCTCTCCCTTACGCTACGTTGTCAGAGAGAAGATTGCTGAGAACGGGGCAGAGCTCACCAAGCATTTTGCCCGGAGCTAGGCAGGGGGACCTGGTGAGATCTGCTGGAATAAGAAGGGGACGGAGAAGCTGTAGGTTTTAGACTTTCCCTGCCTTGACGCGGGATGTGGGATCTCTAGTGTAAGCCTATGTCCCAGCGCCTTTCCAGGAGCTAAACTGGACGCGCTTTTGGTCCACCACACTTTACCATCACCAAAATAAAACCATACTCGGGTTTAGGCGGCAAAGCAGGCTGCCGGGAAGGGAAGGGGCAGAGGCAGCA